CAGTATAATGCAATGAATTTTCTAGTATAATGCAATGTATTTTCTTTTTATTACGCACCTTTTTAGCATAATTACTTCTAGCACTGTATTTCCTATAATAAAACTAGAGCAACGTAACACTAATGATATTCGCTGTGTGCAAGACTGGTAGCGCTCTCTGGTGACGGGATAGCGACAGTTCTCCTCATTCATTCCCGCATACTTGCTATACACCTCACACTCAACAGTTGAACTTGAAAATTCTTTTTCAACAATTAAGTGTTGCAACAAGTTTTGTGTTCGCTGTTAGTTGATAGACTAACAAAAATTGTTTCTGTCGCACAAAAAGTAAGTAAATGACATAAAAATATTTGGAGGTTATGCATACGAAGTATCTGCGTTTTGAATGTCATAAATCAATGTAATTTGTCTGTATTTTTAGATGCTACATTTTTGTCATGAGTGTCATCTTGTACACTGGATTTGAGAAAATATCTCATGACATTAACTTTCAGCCTGAAACGCCAAGAAAAGGTAAAGATTTGGTAGAAGCTGGGCATGTCATAAATGTCGAAGAGCACAGAGAGTCAGGTGTTGGCCTTTTGATCCGAGCTGGTGTCATTAGACAAACGTCTGTCCCGAAAAAAGAATATCTTGTAGAATTGCATGTAAGATAAAAATTGTGTTGAAATCCATTTATTATTGACAATAATAAAAATAATCGCATGTTTTCTAATATTATTTCAGCTTGATGCAACTCGGCGAATTCTGTCAGTTTCTTGTATTTGCGTTTACGGAAATAGTTCGAAATGCAAGCATGTCGCAGCCCTTATTGAGTATATCAACAATAACAAAAGTGAATCGAAAACAAATCATGAACAGTTATGGGGTAAACCTAGCGAAAAGAAGCTTAAACTCGAGAAGTATACCAAAGGAAAATTTTTTTCCGAAATGTATCCCCCGCACGGTGATTTACAAGTAGAGCAATCCGAGATTCAGTTATCAGAATTGAAAAGTCGATCAGCATTAAAAATAATAATCTTTGAAAGCGAAAAAGATGAGGTGGAAGAGTCAGTTAAAGATTTGATGAATTCCATGCTTGTTAAAGTAGACTTGGAAAGCAAAAAGGAGGATTGTAAAGTATGCGTTGAAACCCTTTTGGTTCAATGTATGGCAAAAAAAGTGTATTCCAAAGTAACAGTCATTGGTGGAGAATTGAAAGACTTTTATGAAAAAAATATTAAGCTATCGAGAAACCAAATTGTGAAATTAGCCTGTGATACGCTGGAACAATCAGAATGTGGTGAATGGTTTAATAGTCGATATTTAAGGGTATCTGCAAGTAAAAAAGCTCATTCCATCAAAATAAGAGTTAAAAAAACTTTCGAGTCACTAATTGATGACATGTTATTCCCAAAGAAGCTCGATATTCGTGCTACCAGATATGGAAAAGAACACGAATCGAAAGCTCGAGAAACGTACAAATCGTTATTTAATGTTAACGTGATAAATGTAGGTGTCATAATCAGAGAAAAACAACCATGGCTGTGTGCCAGTCTCGACGGAGTAGTAGTAGAAGATACAAAAATTACCAAAATTGTCGAGATAAAAAGCCCTAGTCAGTGCGAAAAAAAAGGAATAGTTGACTTTAGTACAAAAACATGTAATGTGTCCTACTTGAAGTTTAACGGAAACGCGGTTGAACTTAGAGAAAGCACAGTTTACTATACACAATGCCAAATACAAATGTACATTTCTGGTTCAGATCTGTGTGATCTGTTTATCTACACACCTGCTCAAAATGGAAGTGTTTGCATACCTGTTAAACGCAATGAAATTTTTTTAAGTAACACTGTGATAAAATGTGAAGAATTTTATTTCAAAAATTTTCTTCCTGCCTTGTTCCAAAAAATGGAAATGTGCAACAGCAAACAAACAAACAAACAAACAAGGAAAACAATAACAACAACAACGAGAAAGTATAAAATATAGCCTAAGTCAACTCGTTACTTGTACGGAGAAAACGCCAATTAAAATTATATAAGACATTGTTGTATTGAATATTATCTGTTTAATATAAAACACATTAAATTAAAAAAAATTCAATCGCCAAGAGAATATGGTTTGATTATTTATTTATGTACAATTTAAAAATGAAACGACATACATACGATTACATACATGGTTACAAATATTATTACATATCATTTGCTATCGTTTTCACTGAAGATAGGTGATTGTAAATTCGTCAGTACACAACATATGTGTACAATATTATCGATGTTATCAAAAAGATGTTCTTGCTATGCTATACGTTGCCTCAGTTTCGTCTGTACTGAATTCTGATTTTTTTTTCCAACAAAGGGGGCATCACGACTGTTACTTTTTTACCCTTTGCATCCACTATTTCTTTAATTTGCGGAAATCCTTTGTCTGCCAAAACAACATCGCCTTCTTCTAGTAAATCTATCAAACCAGATTCTACTGTCAACTGAGAATCGCTTTTTCTTCCCCCAGAAACTTTGGATTTGAAACTAATGAATCCAGATGGGGTGATTCCAATAAGCAGCTTAGCTGTAAAACCTTTCTTGTAATGTGAATAACAGAGAATCCTGTTATCTACTTTCGAGGGACACTGAATTCTGAATTCCGTACAGTCTATGATCACTCGAGTATTTTCATAATTTGGCTTAAAACATTGTGGCATCGATCGCATTACGACACTTTTCTTTGGCCAGAAAACGAAATTTTGTGTGGCAGCAGATAAGTATTTTAAAACCGAAAAAAAAAAACTATTGACACGGTTGTTCTATGCACGTCAAATAACACGGCGATTGCTGAAAATGTCAGATCAGTTTTAATTTTCATTAAAAAAAGTAGAAGTCGATTTTCTTTGGAGAACTTACTATGATCTGACCCGTCCTTTAATCGCTTTAATAATAAATTAAAATTCTCAAATGTCACTCCTGCGAAGTCTAAAAGTTGTTCCTCTTTTTTAATTGACAAATATCCAGCAAATCCTGAAAATTCTGGTGTGTTCAAGTTTTCATTTTCTACATCGGGCCCTACACTCACATTTGCATAACTCTTCGATTCTGTGCCACACTTTTTATCTTTACATTCTTTCCTGTTTGGAGTGATTACCGCGCGTAAATTGTCATTTATATTAGTTTGAATTTCCACATCCCACGTAGATTTACCATCGAACCCAATTCTATTACAAGTAAACGTTCTGTCAAATTTTTCAATGAACGATGTAACTTGACATCCTTGGTCAATAGTTTTCAGGATGTTGCACTCTATTTGAACATCCTCTAATGTATCTCGAGTTCCATCATCTAACTTGAATGATGGTTCAAGAACTTTTTTCCGGCGTGAAACAATTGTACAGTTTATCTCGTCTATTTTCCGCTTCATAAAACGAGCATGTCTGCAATAAAAACATATTATCCTGTGTTTTATAGAAACCTCTATGAATTTAATGAGTTAACATTTTAATTGAAGTATACCTATTCACGGCTGCGATTTGATTTGCGCTTTTTTTCGGATCTGACCAAGGAAATATTGTCGGTACATAACTTGGGCTACTTTCTTCTTCTCGTTTTTTATTTCCAATAAAATGACCACTGCATATATAATCATTCCGTTTTGGCACCCAAGGTGAACCATCAGCGCTGTGGAAAAACCATTAAATCTATTACGTTATAAATAATTTATTTATCACTATTACTTGAGCATTCAAATACCGCTCCTACTTTCAATGTTTATGATATATATACGACAGAGGTTATGTTACTCACTTTTTTCTTTTCACAGCTGCTATCCATTTCTTTCTTTGCTCCAATTTATGTGATGCGGTTGGAAACGTATAAAACTTACACGCACTATTTTTACTAGTGTTTTTACACTCGACAACACTACAATCATTGCGTTCGGTCTGCCAAGTTCCTTTAACTCCTTTAACACTTTTAACTCCAAACGACCCTTTTAGCGTTCGGTTTAGTCCGATTAGTGACAGTTTAACACGCTTAAATGTCATTTAAAAGCACCCTAAAATTTGTCCAGCTCCAGCCCCTGACTATCCGAACTCGCCTAATAACGACGACTCATTTTAATACCCAACACGAGACCCACAACACGCTGCCGCGCTACTACGACGATGTGGACAATCGCCGACTCCTGCCACCATAGGCGCTGCGATAGCTCAATCTATCCCCTCCAAGCCAAATGCACACAGCGAATAACAAACACTAAAAGTATTTGTGGTACTCGTATTTTTTCGTTTTTAAGCTGTCAATGTATTACAAAAACTACTTTGATAAATATTTAAACGAAAGTTTGTGTGCCTAATGTAATTATGTACGAATTATAGGTTACCTGCGCAGTAAAAGATGCGCGTCTTTTTCCCGCAGGAAGTGTCAATACTGATTGTTTCCTATACTGGGATCATACTCATGTAAGGTCCGATCACAATTAGAACATAGCTACGTCATAACCATTACTTCGAATTTTGAATGCATATTATCTATAACTTTCAATAAACAAAAATTAAATAAGTTGTTAGGTGTAAACAATATTTCCTATATTCTTATAATATTAACACTTCACTAAATTCCCATTAGGCAGCGGTAACCAATTATTTACGTTGCCAAATGATGACGTAGCTGCGTTCTTCTAATTGTAATCGGACCCTACTACTAACGAGTCTTCTCAACATTACACGTAACCCACGTGGCTTGATAAAACATGAAATTTAATGCGGATCTTAGTGATTGTTGTGAAATCTTATGTATTAGTTATGTAAAATAGGTCAGTGACATTTTTGTCGAGTTATTACTGACATTATTAATGTTATTTTTAGCCACTTGATGACACACATTTAACTTATCGAAATATTCCCAATTTCTTGTCTTAAATTTTGTATTGTAATTTTTAAAAAGCATACAATGAATTAATAAGGCTAATTTTTATAAATTTGAAACGTTTAAATGCTATTGAAATACTATTTGCTTATTGTTTACCTTTTGAAGACTGTCACACTCTTCTTTTTTGGCTTTTAACTCCTTTAATAAGCATTCCACTTCACACGTTTTTTTCTCTAATTGGTGAATATGACTGCAAAAAATAATAAAAACAATCATTCTGACTGGCAAAAAATATCATCTCATCTCTACCTGTTTTGTTGTTTCAGTTTTTGCCTTCCCTAAAACGAAAAATAAGAATTTTAATAAAAATTTGATCACTAGAAAATCCCCAGATCTTTACAATCAGTTGCAAACTTAAATAGACCGTTAGTATAGTGCAATGCTTGGCGTTTATGTTGAGAAAGCATAGTGGCTATACTTGCGAGCAAAACATTCTTTTAATAGCGTGGCTTTTTAAAATGAAAGTGGGTGCAATAGCAGATTATAAGATGTCATCTTGATCAAATTCACTGCATATTACTGCAGCTTTCACCTATTAGCTATATGACTATGACTTAGACAAACATTTTCTTCCATACATTTATTAATCAATCTTGTCAAAACAAATGGTAATTTCTACACCTTGACTTTTCTATCTTTTAAGTGCGTAAATGCGTAGAGATGCATTGTAAATTAGACTAAGCCAGGTAACTTTTTAAAAGACTTCAAAAAGAAGGAGGTTCTCAATTCGTCCGAATATATTTTTTAAAAATATGTTTAACGATAATTCTTTACCACGTTGTCCTCCTACGATTCTTTTTTTGTTAGAAAGGAGGCACCTAGGGGTAGTCTGGTTCCCATATAAATTTGATCAAGATCTGATGAAGAAATGTATAAGAAAATCATTAAAATCTTCATTTTTGAAGTCGGTTTTTTAAAATTATTTTTATAACTTGTATGATAGACTATACTACTAATTGGATGGTGGTCCGAACAATAGTCAATAAAATAGGAATAAAAAGAGCTAAAGGAAAAGGAATTGGAGCGGCAGATCTAAGCAAGCAAAACGATATCATGGCGCTTCTAACATGATGAAACTTATAGTTACTATAGCTCTAGAAACACCACCACAATTCTCTAAAATGCAATAGTTTTTGTTAAGCATATGGTATCAACAGAAGAGTCCCTCGACCAAAAACTGAAGTGATTGGGGTGTTTTCTCACTTATCAAGAGATTTTCCTGTGCGAAAGCCAAGATAATGAATATCATGGCATGTTCCTCCAAGATGAAGTAGAAGCTTCCGTTTATCATTGTTATTACTATTTGTTTTGGATGATTACTTAACGTAGAAAAAGCTCAAATTATGGATTGAGTATTTAAGCTCTAATTATTATGAGTCATTTCTTTTTTTTAGATAGTGAAAAACGGTACTACCACTAAATAGTGCAAGACAATATAGCGCCAGGATAAAACAGCGCAGGAACAAAAAGTGCATTCACAAAAAGCGCTTAGATAAAATAGCGCCGAAAAAATTGACGTTGGGACGTAATAGCGTGATAGGAAAATAGTGAGGGTTTAAAAAAGTGCTGGGTCAAAATATCCCAGGCAAAATTAGCGTTCTAGGGCGCACAGGTTAGATAAATTAGTTTTTTCTAATTTTTTATGAATAACCTGTGCTATCGTGGGTTGCTTCGCAAAAAATGATACGTAAAATAAGAAAAATGAAAAATAAATTTAACTAATGTACCTAACCTATGCGGTAAATTAGTAACGTTCTGTTTTAGTTTAATTATAAGTAAAAAAATCGCTGTTTCTCCTTATTTAGTGCTAATGTGTCCAATGCTATGTTCCCAATCGTTATTTTCTTTAAGTGTTTTGGTCACAGCGCTGTTTTATCTTCCGCTAGAGGTATTTTTTACTTATTCTATTTTGTACCAGCGCTATTGTACTAATTGGGCATTATTATTAGTAAAATATAAAGAATTACACAAACATTCTAAAAAGTAATTTTTTAATGTTTTAACTAAATATTGAACAAGAAAACACATGTATTGAAATAAACCAAACAATCAGGTTATGGCTTACATTGAACTAGAAAATTATCCTAGGTAGTATGTTGATAGGGTTGCCACCTGTCCTTTTTTGTAACGCACAGTCTTTTTTTTGAAAAGGACAGTCCTTTTTTGGAGCAAAATGTCCTTGTGACTTTTTAAAGCTTAAAATGTCCTTTTTACGGCAAATGTCTTTTTTTACAGCACATATCTTTGGAAGGGACATGGTTTGTACAAAAATATATTTTTAGACGATCGGTAGAAAAATGTCGAAGATGGTTTTTTTCTTACAAGCTCGGCCACTTTTGAGTTTAAATAGACTGTCGATAGAGACTAAAGTAAGAGAGACTCGAGTAAGGGCTGTTGTCCAAAACTCTTGCCGAGAGATGAGACTCTTCTTTCGAGACCATCTAGTTCCCAAAACACCTTTATGTGTAAAGTTTTGTACAGCGATTTGTATACTAGAAGTAAATATCTTTAAATTATTTTAACATGTTGTTTGAGTTTTGTTTTGAGACAATTAATTTATTGAATTCCATATAAATGGCAATTTTTCCATTTTATCTTACATTTACAAATATTTATTCCTTAAATATAAATTGATTATTTATTCCGTAATTATTTTAATATGTTACAGTATATTAAATTTTATTATTATTGTCTCCCCCCTTTCCAAAACCTGTTATGAAATATTTTAAGCATTTGTGAAGCCTCGGCGTTTTCACCCCTAAGGACTAGCAGAGTCTATAACTCACGCCACTCGCCTATGATTTTAAGGGATGGTTTTATTTCTTATTAATTTCATTTTATAATATTTTTGCCACTGGCGAATGCTGGTGACAGTGCTGCCTAAATCCCTTAATAGTATATGGACAACAGTAGCTAAAGACCTATTAGTTGTTACAAATGGTCTTTATACTAGTTGGTTGTAACATTTGGTGACAGCAATGGTCGTTTAGACGATTGTTACACTATTTCACCCAGTGCATTAATTTCCTGAGCTATTTAGTGAAAGTGCCATAAAAAACAGTTCTATTATTTGCAAGGGTGGTATTTATGACCTTCTTAATGCTTAATAATGATTAATATTTATATAATAATTTGAATTTAAACAGTTGATTACTGGATTATTGACAACATCAATCTGTTATATTTTCTACTGGTCCACTATTTCTCGAATTTATATATCAACAAACAAACGACTAACATATAACACGCACAAAAGCTGACGATGCGGGTTGAAGCTTGTAAATATTTTAATACAAATTTGAGCAATAATATAGGACGAAAACTCTGTCAAACTTCTAAAATTATCGTACCACTCAGAAAGTGCTTTTTATTGAAACTACCACAAGAAAACCAGTTTCGGCAATCAGTCTTAAAAAAAAATTCTAAAGTAAGCAATGGCCGATAGAGACAAATAAAGCAGTCATGTCCACAACAATGCGACAACTACGCACGTCTCTGAATGAAAATTAAATTATTATTTAAAAAAGAATTATTATACGCTCCAAAATAACTGATATTATACATGGACTACTATATAATCATTTGATTTTAATTCGTTTAACACCCGGAACGTAATACCTATAGTTAAGAGTGGGGATATTATTTCACAAACCAGTATATATTTTAGGAAATGACAGTGTTTGATATTGATACTTATTATTTAAATGTGAAGAGAAATTGCTGGTACACGACACATAAATAGGCACTTTGTTTATGTGATGAGCGAAAGCGCAGCTACCATATTGAAATGACGTTAATTCAAAAAGCAATATTATATCTACAGACAAATCAATCATTAGAAAAAATCGTTGTAGGTGCTTCACTTGATTATACCTCTGTGGAAGCACATAATTGTGAGGAATTGAAAAGGTGGTTGAAGCGTCATGGACGTTCGCAAACAAGAAAAAATTGTGCTGATTGGAAGGTTATGTGTATCAATACTTGTTTACCGTGTAAAACATTAACGAAAACAAATAATAATTATAACTCTATTCTAATTAATTATGCCAACCAACTATCAGTATTTGCAAAAACACTTTAATTAACATGAAAATTAATCACGAGTATAATTAATAAAATAAATTATTTAATATTTTGGGGATCAACATTTTTAATCATATATTACTGTGAATACCGAAGTAGTATTTAATATTAAAAAAATATTCTGTAATACCAGAAAATACATTAAATATAAATTAATTTTTCAGGGTAATAAATGCACTCAAATAACATACCTGGCGGCCCTGTAATACCATCATCAATCGATTTATGTGTTGCCTTTCAATGATTTATACCATGTGTCACTTTTACATACTAACACCGTTTTGTTGTTCTTTTCCATACAGATAATATAATTATTACTGGTTGCAAAAATTTATTTTTCAATTAAGACACTTATTACTTTACTAGTTGAGTCGATCCCGCTTCGCAGGAATTTCTCAAATCTCAATTATTAATAGTGAATAACAGTTCGTTACTCGAGAGAAATTTTTTCATGCGATACCTGGCAATTTTTTTTTATTTATTTTATTTTTATTAATTTTTATTAATTTTTATTAATTTTCATTAATTTTCATCAATTTTTATTAATTTTTATTAATTTTTATTAATTTTTATTAATTTTTATTAATTTTTATTAATTTTTATTAATTAATTTAATTTTTATTAATTTTTATTAATTTTTATTAATTTTTATTAATTTTTATTAATTTTTATTAATTTTTATTAATTTTTATTAATTTTTATTAATTTTTATTAATTTTTATTAATTTTTATTAATTTTTATTAATTTTTATTAATTTTTATTAATTTTTATTAATTTTTATTAATTTTTATTAATTTTTATTAATTTTTATTAATTTTTATTAATTTTTATTAATTTTTATTAATTTTTATTAATTTTTATTAATTTTTATTAATTTTTATTAATTTTTATTAATTTTTATTAATTTTTATTAATTTTTATTAATTTTTATTAATTTTTATTAATTTTTATTAATTTTTATTAATTTTTATTAATTTTTATTAATTTTTATTAATTTTTATTAATTTTTATTAATTTTTATTAATTTTTATTAATTTTTATTAATTTTTATTAATTTTTATTAATTTTTATTAATTTTTATTAATTTTTATTAATTTTTATTAATTTTTATTAATTTTTATTAATTTTTATTAATTTTTATTAATTTTTATTAATTTTTATTAATTTTTATTAATTTTTATTAATTTTTATTAA